GTATGGCTAGATCCAGGCTCGTATATAAATGTCAACAATATTCTCTTTCTTCTAGCCGCTTTCCACTGATTGTCTACGGTTCAGAAAATCTACTCTCTGTAACCTCACCTCCTACTATTTCCCTTCCACTCCATGTATACTGGTCTCCCACAAAGCAGAAATAACCTGCCTCAGAGCCTGTGTACTTCCTGCCCAGGTGGTGGCAAGAAGGCCTTCATCAGCATTAGACTTACATTCTATTGGTAGGGGACACCAGTAAAAAAGAGACTTTATGGGATGGGCTGAAACTCAGTGGCAAAGCACTTGCCTAGCATGCATGAGGCACTGGATTCAATCCTCAGCACCACATAAAAATTAAAAAATAAAATAAAGGATGTTGTCTATCTACAACATAAAAAAATAAAAATAAAAAAAAAGACTTTATTCCTCAGAGTGTCAAACTCCTAGGAGTCTTATTGGCTCAATTACTGTAGCCTGGTGAAAAGAATGCTCTGATTGGCTGGCCGTGAGTCATGTAACATCTCTGGGCCTAGCAGTGGTGATGGTGTAGATGCAGGTCTGTTCTTCAGAAGAAAATAGGTAAATCATCCAAAGAAGAGGGGATGAATACAGGGAGGAGAGAACCAACGGGCTTCTACAACATTGCTGTTAATTTTTCGAAAGACACAGAGATGTATTATTTTTTTTCTTTAAAAAGCAATGAATTCAGCCAGGCGTGGTGGTGCATGCTGAGGCAGGAGGATTGAGAGTTCAAGGCCAATCAGACATCACTTTCCTATGTTCATGTATAAATGCACGACCAGTGAAATCCACATCATGCACCACCCCAAGAATGGGATCCTAATTAAAATAAGTTACACTGCATGCATGTATAACATGTCAAAATACACTCTACCATCAGGTGTATCTAAAAAGAGCAAATTGAAAAATTCAAAATAAAAAAAAAAAGTTCAAGGCCAATGTGTGAGGCCCGGGTTTGAGCCTCAGCACCAAAAAAAAAAAAAAAAAAAAAAAAATCAAAATAAAACAAAAAAGCTTATGCCTTGTATGACTTAATTTATACAAAGCTCTGGGTCAGGTAAAACAGCTTTGGTTGAGAAACCTGGTCTCTGTGGATGGGAGTGGCTCAGCGTTAGGGTCTGCCAGGAACTCACCTGTGCTCGGCAAATGCTCTACCACTGAGCCCCAGCCCAGCCCCATCCACAGTCCTTTTTATTTTCTAAGACAGGGACGTGCTAAGTAGCTAAGGATCTTGCAAGTTGCCCAGCTGGCCTGGAACTTGCCTCCGCCTGGAACTTGCCTCCGCCTCCCAAATTGCTGGAATTATAGGTCTGTGCCACCTTTGGTGGCAACACATCAGTGACTTTATCAGAGGAAGAGAGACCTGAGCCAACGGCTTGCACTGCCATGGTGACGCAGCATGAGGCCCTCACCAGATGCCAGGCTGACGCCGAGCAGATGCCAGCACCATGCTGTTGGGCTTTCCAGCTCCAGTATTGTGCTCTAAATAAACCTCTCGTGTTTACAGATACATGAACACTCCCTCTTCCAGGTATCTGTTACAGCAACAGAAGCCAACCAAGACACCTGTGAAAATCTGAGTCAGATCTGCACAGCACCTGCCCAGGGCTCCCATTTCACTCAGTTTAAAACCCAGATCCAGCCAGGCACCGTGATACAAGCCTGTAAGGCCAGCGGCTTGGGAGGTGAGGCGGGAGGATTGCTAGTTCACAGCCAGCCTCAGCAGCAGCAAGGCACTAAGCAACTCAGTGAGACCCTGTCTCTAAATAAAATACAAAAAAGGGAGGTGACACAGTGGTCAAGTGCGCCTGAGCTCAGTCTCTAGTACCCTCTCCCCCACCCCCCAGAACAACAAATCCACCCTCCCTGGAGCCCACTGGCCCTAGGCAATCCGCCTCCCAATTCTGCTCTGGTCACACCAGCCTCCTTGCCTCCCCTTATGCTGACTGTTCCCTCTACCTGGATGCCACGCCCCAATGTTCACCTCACTCCCTGTCCTTCCGCAGGTCTGTTGGAGCACTGCTTCGGCGAAGAACCCCCACCCACTGCTACGCACAACAGCCCGCTTGGCCAGGCCTGGCTGCCTGGAGCCCCAGCTCTTCAGAAAGCTGAGGCCAGAGGGGTACCCGAGCCTAGGAGTTTGAGGACAGCCTGAGCAACACAGCGAAGGTCAGCGCACCCTAGAGCCCCCACCGCCTGTGGTCACCGGTGCTCAGCATGCTGTCTGCCCTACAGGGTGACCATCAGAAGCATGTGGCTCCTGGAAGCATGGAGCTGTTTGGTCTCTGGCTGTCATACAGTGATACTTAGTAATCCTGGCTGGAGGACAGCATGAACCCACAAGGAAACGACACCTCCTGATGCTCCTAGTGTCCATGGTGCTCCTCTGTTCTGCTCCCACTCCCCCCGGTACCCTGGCTGGGCCTTGCCCCCAGGCACACCCTGACCAGACACTGCCCCAAGGGCTTCCTGGGGGCCCACAACCCCTTACCCAGGTCCTGTCCTAGATTTCCCCTGCTTCTGGCCATGGTGGCCTTCCAGACTTCCCTAGTGGCCTGAATATAACCAGGCGTGACTACCACTGTGGGAGGTCAATCTTGCCCAAACGTGGCTTTTCCCATCATGCAGTGGGAAAGACCCGAGAATAAGCATTTCCCCAGATCCTCACCAGCCCCAAGGCCACAGCTCCCGTCCTCCAACCCCACTGGCTTTTGAGGTCTCTTGTCTTTTCCCTCCGGATTATCCTCTGCTCATGCTCCACAAAACTCCAGCTTTGACCCGAGGATACTCCCTTCCCCAAGTCTTGATTATTCCACCTACAGCTCTCTGATCCACGCATGAACCAGAATTCTCAGGGGAAAGATGCTGATTCCCAGAGATGCCAAGAGATTCTGATTCTACAGTTAGGGCCATAAAAATAGGGCATTTTAAACAGAGGTTCCAGGTGACTGATCCATGGCCACCCTGGTTCAGGAGTCCCTAGTGGGGGGAAAGCTTGGACAGAAGAAAACTAACTTTTAATTCAAAGACCTCAGCCTCTGCCTAGGGCGATGAAAAGGGAGGAATTATCTTCATTTCCAGCTGCTTTTAAAATAAACTAGCACTTCCAGATACTCCACACACCCCTGGCCTATCATAGATCTTCTAGAAACCCTAAGATTTATGGGAGATATTATCACTGGGGAAGGACCACAGCAAAGAACAAATGGCTTCTCCTCTCCTGAGAAATTACCAATCCTGTGGCCACAACCCAGGTCTGCTGGCTGCAGCATAGCTGGGGTGGAGGAGGAGGCCTAGATAGCAGGGGTTCCTTACCGGATCAAGCAGTCCCCGTGCTCTCCACCTACAGAGAAGACTGAAGAGATACTTAATTTGCTGAACTTTATTATGCATATACATTTACATTTACTAATCCTGGTGTCAACCTTTTGTACAACAAGCCCCCACAGACCCGACTTGAATTTCAGGAGCTGGGCAGCTGCAGCCTCGTCACCCTGCGAGTCCAGTCCTCCCCGTGTTAATTGCACACAACCAAGACAAACCTTGAGGCGGAGAGGAGGAGCTGCAGGTGGGAACCATTCTTGTTTTCTATATCTTCAGTGAGACTCATGCAGGATTTTGAAATGAATCGTCACAAGAAATTTGTCTTAAAGTGGAATCACTAACAACATCTAACAATTGTTCACATTTTTACCACAAAAACCAAAGTCAGAAAAAGAGACCACGAACACTAGCGAGGGCTAAAACTCCAGGACAGGATATCATTGTGTGCGGGTTAACATGGTAACTTGCTATCACACAGCTGAAGGGTCACAGCAGAACGAGAGCATGTGAAATACAACAGGAAACGAGCTTTCAGACATGCGCAGGACCGAGCCACCCACTGCCAAGCTTCCTCATCAGGTCACATTTACAAGCAATTTAATTATATGCAAAGAGAAGGCAGAAACGACTAGTTACAGACCTGTACAGAAACAAGTTAACCTATAAACACAAGGTAATATTCTGATAGTTCTCGATGTGACTGGTCTGGGTTACAACATACTTGAGTACTTGTTTTTCACACATTAAAACACATGAGAAAGTAGATTTGGATTACATCTTTGTGGATACCTTGGGATTCCCCAAAATACAGTGTGGAAACTGTATTTTGGGGCCCCTGCCCTCTCTCTTACACATGCATGCGCGCGCGCGCGCGCGCACACACACACACACACACACACACACACACACACACTATGGGACGGAGCGATCTGTTCTGATTTAGTGTGTCTAATCCAGATAGCAGAAACAGCTAATTTTTAAAAGACTTTTTCCCCCTCTTCTATGTGAGAAGTGGCTTCTGCCTCAAAGTTGGTGAGTCTGGTGGCTCTGGATAGAACTAGAGCCAAGAACCCAGGAATGACCCAGTCTTCCCTACTAACCACCCCTCTTCTCCACATGCTTCCTGAAAGGGCTTCAGCCCAAAACGGGAGTCAAAGTGCCAATTTTATAAATAGACTCTCAAACTTGACTACTTCAATGGCGAGGCAGACAGTCACTCTTCCCAGAACTCTTGGGACTGAACCACCTTCCAGTTTGACAACTGGAGGATGGAAGCTCAAGACTGAAGGAGCAAGAGGGCCAGGTGTGCATCCAAGACCTGGGCTTAACTCACCCACTGGTCACGGCCCAGGGAGGCTGGAGGGGAGAAAGCAGGTGCCCTGCTCTTCAAACACCAAGCCTGAAGGTTAGCTGACCATCCAGAAGAGCAAGCAGGGGGTGGGGAGAAAGGCTGGACATGAATGAGCGAAACAGTAACCTGCCCATGCATAAAAGGTAATGAACATTCTAGAATTTTCCCAAGCCACTTACCAACCCTCCTTCCTCTGAGGGTGAGTGAAGGAGGAGGTGAAAAGCTGGCCTGGTAGAGAAAAAGGCAGAGAGACACACCTCCCTCCCCCAATTTCTCCCAAGACCTAAGATCTCATATCATTTACCTCCGAGAGCCAGACCTTTAGAAACTGGGTCCCTCAAAGAGCCAAGTGTCGTTTCACTCAATGACAAGAGAAAGCTTTGCTTCTAACTTGGAACTTCTTCCTTGGTCTTCTTTCACCTCCATGGGCATGGGTGGTCTCCCTTCAAAGCTTTCTGGAATCTGTGGGTAAAGTATAAGAGCTCAAGAGAAGAAGCAGGGAGAAGCACCGGAGGACATCGCCACCTCCCAGGCCCTTCTGAGTCATCAAACACTCCATCCCCCAATCAGGTCTCCAGAAAGCTCATCCTTAAAGCCATGTACCCACCAACAGTACAATCCCCAACCTGAATTCCTGTGGAGAGAGATGGGTTATGTGCAGTGGTTCAGTGACCACAGAGCCACTCATGCATGACATGTGGGTGGGTGGGTTTGCAAGGGGGGGTGGCAATCGAAGCCATCAGGGGCTCCTAGGAGGGAGCCCGGGCTCTCACCCTCTAAAACCTCACCTGGGGTCATCCACCTCCTCCACTGCACTGGGATCCTCAGTCACCTGCCTGGCTACCACCCCTGTAGGCCCCTCTGCCCCTCCTCCCACTTCATCCAAATCACATGCTGTCATCCTCACCATTGGAGGCACGAGGAGAGCCTCCTGGCTTGGCCTTCAGACCCCTGGATGTTGAGGCTTGTGATCTGGAGTGCTGGAGGCCTCTAGGGCCCTTCTGGGCTGACACATCCCTTCTCAAGCCAGAGGCCTTCTTTGCAATCATGGGCTTCTTCTTTGCCTCTTCGGAATCAACCAGGACGTAAGAGACTGGGCCCAAGCTCACCTTCTTCTTCTTCCTCATGGGGGCAGGGCTCTTTCCGGAGGCCCAGCCCATGGCCTTCTTCTTTGGGGGCCTTTGCTGACCACCACCTTGAGCTAACTGAGCGGTGCTTGCAGGGCTCTCCACTTCCCTAGGGGCCTCCTGAGGCGGATCCCGGGGCACCTTCCAGGCACTTTTTGCCAAAGGCTTCTTCAGAGCTGATTCCTCCTGCTTCACACACGGTTTTTTGTTGCTCTTGATAGACTCGGAGATCTCCATGCTTTCCCCCTCCCCGGCATTGCGATTCTCCAAGTAGGAGGAGCTACTGGGACGGTTGCCTTTGGGCTTTTTCCAGGGCACTGGTTCCTGTTTGAGATTTTTTTTCTGCTTCTTTCTCCTGGAGCGAGCCTTAGCTCCAGCCCTGCGAACTAGAGGTTTGGGAGGGTCACCCTGGTTTTCCACGGCATTCCAGTGGCGGGGGTTCTCCATCTTCAAGGTGGAACCCAGTTCTGCAGCCAGCCCCGGCTCCTTCTTGACCTTTTTCCCTGCTGCTGATACCCAGGCTGCTGCCTCCTCTGCCTCGGCGGTCTCCAGAGCCCTAGCTTCCTCCCGACTGCGGATCTCCGCATCCATGTAAAAGATGACTTGCACCACAGCCCCCAGGAGCACCCCCAAAGTCTCTGCCCAGTTCTCCGAAGGCTGGTTCTGGGACGGCGAGGGGTGGTTAAGCTGCAGCAAGCGGACCACATCCTCCCATGTGCGCCCCTCGGCATCCAGGAATTCGTTCAGGTTTTTCAAAAACTCGGCATCCTGGGTGGGGTCCCTACAGGCCACTCTCCAGGCACCGCCTCTTCCTGGGAACTCCCGCGGTATGGCGCTCAGATTCACACCCTCGCTAACCTCGATAAGGGCAGCCTTCACGTTCTCCTCCCTCAAGAAAATCTTGTTAAGCACGCGGTAGGAGCCCAGGGGCGAGAGGACCCCATTCAAGGTCTCCTCGATTTCTGCCTGTCCACAGTCCTCTGGGATGCCCGTGACCAACAGGGACCTGTGGATGTCCACTTCCATCCCGCGACACCAATCCTCCAGAAGGTTCATTGCCATAGCCTCCGACATCTGGCCGCTCTAACCCCACGCAAAGGGCCTACTAAGTGGATGTGAGCTGCAGGGGTCCCCAGATAGGAATCCTGCAAGGTCACAAGAGGGTGAGGTCAGATTCCCTGGAAGCTAGCCCGGCTCCCGGACCTCAGCGGCCCACTGCGGCTGGCCCGCAGGCGGCCTCGCGCTTTCCCAGACCCTCCTCCCCAGCCGGGGCCCGAGTGCTCACACGAATCCCGGGATCTGGCGCAACGGTCCTCGGGGCTGGCGCTCGGCCAGCGGCAGGGATGGACCGGGCAGCCCCGCCTCGGACGGCCCAGCCAGGCCAAGGAGAGGCCCCGGGGTGCAGCCACTCCTCAGGAGCCGGCTCCGGCCGCCCTGGCGCTGCGGCTAGAGCCAGACAGGGCAGGAAGCCGCAGTCCGCCCCCGCTCCGGCGCGCCGAGTCACGCGAAGCGGGGCCCGATCAGCAGCAACTGCGCCGACTGAGCCTGGCGTCGCAGCGCGCGCCTGCGCACTTGCTCCCGCACCGCGGCGCCGGTCTCGGCCCCCGCAGCTCCGGCGGTCTCCATGGCAACTGGAGGCTGGTTGCTAAGAGGCGGCGTGGCCTGCGGCGGGCTCTGCAGTAGGGTCTAGCGAGCTGATGCAAAAACTGCGACAGTTCAGGGGTGCACCCCGCGAGGGGTCTAGAGAGCCCCCCATCGCCCCTGCAGACCCGCTCTTTCCACCCTTGACTGCCTGGTGTGGGTCTCGGGATGGGGTGGGGGCGCTGACGTCCATGGCTGTGCACAAAACAACTCTCACCCTCTGCCCTCCTGGGAGACACCAGAAATCAGAGAGCAAAAGGAAAGAGAAGCTTTAATGTCTTCTGCCCCCGCCCCTAGTTCCGCTCATAATAGCCACAGCTCCGTTTGGAGCAGCATTCTCTCCCTACAGTTCCTGGGTTCTGGAACCTTCCAGAAATTTCTAGAAATCTCTCCCTCCCTTTTAGGCAACTCCTTTAGGCTTGAGATGAGTGCATCACCTGACCTTGTTGATTCTTTAACTTGCTGCCTTAACACCTTTGTTTATAGTGAGAAACTGATGTGGCTCCATTTTTAAAAATAAATAACAGCAGCTTCTACCTCAAGGCCTGTCCTAAGGAAAGGGGCATGACCCTTGTCCTTGAAAACATCCACAGAGCACTCCTAAGCACATACCCACCCTGCTGAGATGTTTGTCTGTAAATAACAGGAGAGGTCTGAGGCACCAGGTGTCCCTGACTCAGTTAGGCTAGGTGAGGACCCATAGCAACCCCCCTAGCAACCTCCAATCAGCATGAGGCAGGGAAAATACCTGGGATGCCAGATGACCCCCCAGTAGGTTATGGTGGTTGATAACATGTTGGGAAACCATGTAGTTTAGCATGTACACCCCTCGTGGCCTAAACCAATCAGTTCAAATGAATCTCCCTTTGTACTAACCAAGCACTCCTACTCAACTTGTTCCTGCCATTGAATGTGCTAATCAATGTTAAGAGTTGTTTGATTTTCCCACGGTTTGGAATGATTTGCTGTGTGATGTTGTGATGCATAGAGTATCCCCCAAAACCTATAAAATCTCACTGAACAAAGGACCAGGACTCACTCCCTGGGACTGCTGTGTCGGAAAGGTTATGAGTCCAGGCTCGAGCTTGCAATAAAGACTCTTGTGTGATTGCATCGGATTCGGCTCCTAGAGGTCTATTGGGGTCCCAGGAATCTGGCATTACAATAGATGATTAAGTGCTCCTCAGTGGCTCAGTGTTGAGTCGCCTTCTTTTCCTGCCAGGACATCCTAGCAATGCTGCTTCCTAGCAGTTTCATTTCAGAGAAGTGATTTGCATTCTCCAAGTGCCTTCCGTTTCTCCAGGAAACTTTTCACATCTAGAAGTTTTGAAGATTCAGGGAACTCGCATATGAAAGATGCAATGAAAAACCAATTCTGACTTTGGTATTCCATGGAAAAATCTCTTCTTCGCATTCAGTTTTACAATTGACCTTTGTGAGGCCAAATGGCTGAATGCCTAATTCATTGTCATCTCTGGCATCCCTAAACATGGGTGGGATCAATTTTGTGTGATTGCCCTCTCACCTTGAACCAATAGAGTAATGAGAAGGGACGTTTTGTGACTTCTCAGGCTAGGTTCATCCTCTTTCCTATTGGTTGGAACACTCTCATTCTTGGATGCCTGAGTTTTCAAGTAAGAAATTCAGCTGTCTTCTGGCTGCCATGCTGTGAGGAAGCACAACCATAGTGAGAAGCCACCAGTGCTCCAGTTAACAGTGCCCAGCTAAGCACAGCTCCATAGCATCTCAGCCCAAAGCACCAGACATATAAGCGAAGAAACTTCCAAATGATTCTAGCTCCCATTAGAGTCACTCAACCATTTGCATTTGAGTCCCAGACATCGGCTACCAGAAACAAAACATGACTGTTGTACCCTATGTGAATTCTCAACACATTCAACCCAGGAGTATAACAAAATAATTGTTCTGTGCCACTACATTTTGGGGTGACTTACTATGTATCAATAGATTGCTGGGAAGTAGGGCAAAGGTCAAATGCAGCAAGCATTGATGATGTTTGGCAAAGCATTACTGCAACAGAAAACAAGAGCAGAAGTCTTAAGTCAGCTTCTGAAGAGAGTCCCGAGCAATTTTTTAAAAGCAGTGTGCAGCTTCAGTCTGTGGAATTATTCCAGTGAAACAACATCCTCATCAAGCTTAAGGATTGAAGAAGAGGTAAAATTTCCACTCTCGTCAATTACTTTTAGGGAAGAAGAAAGCTTGATAGTTCACCATTAGCAGAGCTGATTAAAAAGAAAAAAAAAAGTCTTGTTCTTTCTGTAGCCATTTAGCCTTATTCATAGGAAGTAGAGTAGCCAGAGGGAGCACCTTGTAGCTGATGATGCTATGAAGTTATAACAACCAACATTTAAAGTTTGTTTACTAAATTTTTAAAAAAATATTTATTTTTCAGTTCTCGGCGGACACAACATCTTTGTTTGTAATGTGGTGCTGAGGATCGAACCCGGGCCTCACGCATGCCAGGCAAGCACGCCACCGCTCGAGCCACATCCCCAGCCCCACTAAATTTTTTAAAGTAAAATTATGATCCAAATTTAAAATTTCTTCCAGGCACTGTGGTGCATGCCTGTAATCTCAGCAGCTCAGGAGGCTGAGGCAGGAGGATTGCAAGTTCAAAGCCAGCCTTAGCAACCTAGCAAGGCCCTAAGCCTTAAATTTGAGACCCTGTCTCAAATTTAAAAAATAAAAAGGGGTAAGGATGTGGATCAGCGGTTAAGTGCCCCTTGGTTCAATCCCTGGCCCCCTCACCCCACACAATTTAAAATTTCTCATAAAATTTCAGATTTACTTTTATATTCCCTAAAATTCATATTATGATTATGATTTTTGCCTTTGGCCAAATGCTCAGCTATTCAATGTTTTGTCAAAATCTATGTATTTTGTTCTGACATTTGATAAACATTTATTATTATTATTGCAAAATCAAGAGTAGCAAGAGGCCTGCTCAAGGCTGGGAAGCATTCTTCTTAGAGTACCTTTGCAGTGAACTGGGATGGACCATTGGGTCCAGAAAAATAAGAGAGTATGGCCTAATTGATACCAAATGAGATATTCTTCTTAAAAGATTGTGGCAAGTGATAGCAAAATCCAGTGCAAGCACAAGGAGCACAAATTGTTGCAAATTTGCTAATCAAGAGTGGATAGAATGAAAAGAAAACTACCAAGAGTGGACGAGGGGAGAATTCTCATACCTGTGAGTGACTGATACACATAAAGTCATTTTGGAAGACCCTTTGCTGTACCTAGTTAAGCAGAACATTTGCAAACATTGTAGCCTAAATTCCACTCCTAAATATATGTACCAAACATAAATGTGTTCACTAAAACATAGGGACATGGGCTGGGGATATAGCTCAGTTGGTAGAGTGCTTGCCTTGTGTGCACAAGGCCCTGGGTTCAATCACCAGTACCCCCTCCAAAAAAAATATAGGAACAAAGTCACACAGCACCATGCAGAATAGCCAGAATTTAGGAACTAAATTAACTAAATGCTATTTAACAGAAGAATGGATAAATAGTGGTCTGTTCACGTACTCAAACACTAAACAACGAGAATGAATGATCTACAGCCACAAACAATATATAGAAGAAGCTTTTAACTATAATGTTGAGCAAAAAAAAAAAAAAAAAAAAAAACCACAGACATACAAGAGTTCATGGGCATGTTGTCACTAGAAACGCAAAAACAGCTCAAGGAATCTGTGCTGTCAGAAGTCAGGAAGAGTCTTGCTGGTGAATGTCTAATGACTTCCAAGGTGGGACTCCCACTGGTAAAATTCTGTGTCTTGTCTTGGGTGTTTGGTTACCAGTTTGTTTAGATGGTAGAAATCCAGCGCGCTCTGTGCTCCCATCACGTGCACTTTCCTGTCAATCTGGGATTCTGCACTGACAGCCTTTGCTGTTTTGCTGAGGAGCTGGATGTGAGCTGTGAGGGAAGCTGTGCACCTTGCAGGTTTGGGGATTGAGCCTCTGGAAGAACGAGGCTTATTTTTGTATGGGGGGGGACTTGGATGAGAACAGACTGGGGTGAGGACAGAGTCGGGGAACGCAAACCAAAAACTAGTTTGGGCCATGCTCAGTGTGAGATGCTGAGACCACTCGCAGGTACAGGAATTTGCTAGAAGGACTCACAGGGCTCTGAAAAGCCATCTACTCACTGCTAGAGCTCTTTATAGGGAAAGGATAAATTGATCAGCAAAGGGAGAGATCAGGCATGGGCTTCCAGCTGTCCTCGCCCTGCGGAGTCACATGAACAGTGCTATGTCTCCAGGCAATGATGTGCGACAACACACAGTCGCTCACCCAAGCCTTGGCATCCAGAGTTTTTAACTGGGAGTCAGTCTGTAAGCATAGAGCACTGTGCGGTTGACCTTAGATACTGGGTCTCCAGCACCCCCAGAGCAGCTGGGATTCCAGGCATGCGCGACCACCAGCCTCCTGTGGCAGTGTTATTTATTTATTAGCAGTGATGGGGAATCAAACCCGGGGCCCTGTGGATATTAAATAAGACTCTACATCCCCAGCCCTGCCAGCCCCTCCAGAGTCAAACTGATACGACACATCACAAGGCCTCCACCATTAATCACATTGCTAGCACAGGGCTTAACAGTCATCTCCTCGGAGCTGGTTGAAGGTCAGTCTCTTGTTTGGAATGTGCAGGGTTTGGACAGCCCAGGCCTGCCGAGTTCACCTTTCACGGGAGTTACATAGACTGCGGGATTCATTACAGGCCTTCTGCAGTGTGCATCAGGCAGTGAGTGGCGGGAGGGGCAGCTAGAAATCTGCACAAGGCCTTTTCATCTGCTGTAAGGCCTGAAATAGAGACGTATCATTTGGGCCAACACCTGGAAAGGAAAGCTGTATTGA